CCTGTGTCAGACTCCAGAGCCCCTGGGATTACAGGTGCAGGCCACCATGCCCAGCTTGGAGAGTCCTTACTTGAACTTCCTCTCTAAAACAGCACCTCCTGTCCCAAAATTTTTCTGTTTTTGTTTGTTTGTTTGTTTGTTTTGTAGCATTTATTACCATCTGGAGTTACCTGCTTGATCATATTCCACACTAGAATGCCAGTACAGCAAATAAGGAAGAATTATTTGACTTCTCCATCAATAATGCATAGAACAGGGATGGGGTTGTGGCTCAGTGGTAGAGCGCTTGCCTAGCTAGTGTGAGACCCTGGGTTTGATCCTCAGTACCACATAAAAATAAATAAATAAAATAAAGGTAGTATGTCCTACTACAACTAAAAAATAAATATTAATAAATAATGCATAGAACAATTAGTTGCATATATTAGGTGCTCAGTGAGTGAATGAATGGATACATTTTACAATTAAAGACAGGCTCTAAAGGTGTGATTGGTGTATGTAAAAAAGTCCAGAAAGAAATCTTTGAGATGCCCATTTATTATAAGAGAGCCATAGACCAAGGACAATGACTAAGAACTTTATAAGAACTTGGCAGTCTTTTTTATTATTTACCTAGTTCCTGCTATGTGCCAAGTGATGTACTCAGGAAGGAAATGATGATCAAAACAAGACATGGTCTCTCTGCCACCTATGAGAATTTGCAATTTAGTCTTTTCTCTTTTTTTTTCTTTCTTTCTTTTCTTTTCTTTCTTTCTTTTTTTTTTTTTTTGATATCAGGGATTGGACCCAGGGGTGCCTAACCACTGAGCTACATCACTAGCCCTTTTTTACTTTTTATTTGAAGATATCATCTTACTACGTTTCTGAGGGTGGCCTTGAACTTATGTTCCTCCTGTCTCAGCCTCCCTAGCTGCTGGGATTACTGGCATGTGCCACTGTACCCAGCCAGAATTTTATTTAAAAAAACTGATCTTTCAGTTAAAAATTAAATACATATCTTAAAAATGAAAGCAGAATAGTCATTTTGAACTTCAGAGTTTGTTAAATAAAAACTACAGGAGGCTGTTGTTTTGAACTCAACTCCTGTACAGATCAAGCTAAAAATCAAAATGGAGTCACTAATGCTAAAGTTCCATGTCACCAAGTTCAAAGTAAACTGTTTATCTGAGCTTTTGAAAAATCAGGATTAAAGAACAACCAAATTTCTCCAAATAGGCCAGTTTCAATTGGCATGATAATGAAGTTCCCTCTTTATCAATTCTTGCATACAAGAGAAGTAACTTAAAGTAGTCTAATGTTAAGCAGTTATTTTTCTATTGTTCTATCTCCCTGTTACCATCTTAGAAGGAAAGTAACTTTGAAGTGATAAATACACTTTTTATTCTTTTGTTTCTGCTTTCTTCATCCTTCCTCTGTAAAACCAGCCACTTCCGTTCAGGCCATCAGAATACTTCTTCTATTTAGTGGAATAAACTGTTGCCTGTTCCTCAAATTAAAAATACAGCCAATTAAAAGCTTTAAACTAAATTTTAATTTTGTCCTTTGGCAGATCTAGAAATTGATTATAAAATATTTCAGATCTAGCTGGCTGTGGTGGCACACACCTGCTGTCCCAGTTACTCAGGAGGTTTAGGCAGGAGACTGCACATTCAAGGCCAGCTTCAGCAACTTAATGAGACCCTGTCTCAAAATAAAATAAAAGGACTGGGGATGTAGCTCAGTGGCAGAGTGAGGTCCTAGCTTGCTTGAGGCCCTGGCTTTGATCCCCAGTACAGAAAAAAAAATTTTAAGTAATAAATAATAATTTGAATTTTAAGGTATAACAGTGTTGAAATAATATCCTAAAGTATGGCACTTTGGTTGGATGAGTACTTTTTTTTTCTAATACTCAGGATTGAACCCAGAGGCACCCTACCACTGAGCTGTATTCCCTGCCCTTTTTATTTTGAGACAGAGTCTCATTAAGTTGTTGAGGCAGGCCTTGAACTTGGATCCTCCTGCTCAGCTTTCTGATTGCTGAGTACTCTGAAAGGACATTGGAGAGGTGTTAGAGCAAAGTTTCTCTCTGCCCTCCTGCCCTCCTTGTCTCCTGACCCCATTTTTCTTCTGAGGTGAGTTATAGAAACCAGGGTAAAGACTAGAACTCCTTTTCCCCAAACAAGCCATAAAACCTAGAAACCTTATTCTCTCTCTTCTTCCTTGAACACCTTCCTTCTAGGGGGGGATCCTGTCCCAAACTTGGGAGTAAAGAATGCTACACAGACAAGTCTTGCTGGTTTCCCCCTATTTCCATAGATCTTCCCCTTTTGTCCAATCATATTTCTATATACCTGTCCATTCCTCATCAAACCTAAACATTAAATAACAGACAGTTTTCTTCAGTCTTCATTTCTGAAGGCTCACATCTCAAGTAAAACTTGATCAAATGACCTTGATCGGCCTCTCTTGTAAACCTTCCTTTGGTTATAGAAGTGTCATCTGTGACCCTTATGATGGTTAATGAAAGGTATCACACTTTCTGCCCATACAATAGAATATGACCTAGTCTGCTGTTCACTTAAAAGTGTGTGACTAGTAATTTGCCTCTGAATAAACTATAGGTAGTGGAAAACCACTGAAAATGACATGTAGGAATCATGTAGTTTTTTTAGACAGGTCAATCTGGTGATCCACGGTTGGTGATTAAGGATAGTGAGGTTTTTGCAGAAGCCCAGGAGGGCCCAAGGCAATCCATACCAGTATCAACTCTAGAAAACAGTAAAAAGAAAAAAAAATGGATATGGTGATGGGCAAGAAAAAAGAACCAAGATAGCTCTAATGGGGGCTGGGGTTGTAGCTCAGTGATGGAGAGCTTGCCTGGCATGTGTGAGGCACTGGGTTCCATCTTCAGCACCACATAAAAATAAATAAATAAAATAAAGGCATTGTGTCCACCTACAACTTAAAAAAAAACTACTGGTAAAGTATATTTTTTAAAAAGATAGCTCTAATGAACTAAATAGTTGTGACGGTACAGAGACTAAATCGATGACCATATCCCCAACCTACTTTGGGAGGGCTTATTAAAATACTGGTTGCTGAAGCCCTGACACCAGTTACTGATTTAGTAAATTTTGGGGTAGGACCCAATAAAATGACATTTCTAGCAAGTATCCAGATGATGTTCATGCTCCTGGACTGGGACCTTACTTAGAGAACCCCTACCTTGCCGGTGGTGTTGGCCCACACCTATAATTCCAGAGGCTCAGGAGGCTGAAGCAGGAGAATTGCAAGTTCATAGCCAGCCTCAGCAAGTTGGCCAGGCCCTGAGCAAGTTAGCAAGACCTTGGGGACTAGTGATGTGGCTCAGTGGTTAAGCCTCTCTGGGTCCAATCCTCAGTACCAAAAAGAAAAAAGAAAAAAGAAAAAAAGAAAAAGAGGGAGAGAGAGAACTGCTGCCTTACAGTAATTCTATTCTGATTTTGCTAAGACCTTGAAGAAGACTTTGTTAAACCAGCAGGTGGAGACAAGTATACAGTATCCTCTAAAAATAACCTGCTTTATACAGAGGCTCATAGGAGTTAAGAGTGTTGCCATGGAAACTCTCGAAATACTTTGGAGAGCATTATGTAAATCGGCATCAGGTGAAATAAACCTAAGATGTTTATGTAAAAATTTACTTTGGAAGCAATAATGTTTAGATTCCTGTATGCCATAGTGTCATGATTAAGAACTTGAAATTGGAGTCAGCTCTGCCACTTAAAAGCTATGTGATTTAGGGATAGTTACTTCTGTGATCCTGTTTTCTCATCTTTAAAATAGACCCTTCTTGGGCTGGGGTTGTAGCTCAGTGGAAGAGCGCTTGCCCAGAATGTGTTAGACATTGAATTCAATTCTCAGCACCACATACAAATAAACAAAATAAAGGTCCATCAACACTACAAAAAATATTTAAAAATATAGTCCTGGGTCTGGGGATGTGGCTCAAGCGGTAATGCGCTCGCCTGGCATGCGCGGGGCACTGGGTTTGATCCTCAGCACCACATAAAAATAAAAAATAAAGATGTTGTGTCCACCGAAAACTGAAAAATAAATATTAAAAAATTCTCTCTCTCTCTCAAAAAAAAAAAATATATATATATATATATAGAGAGAGAGAGAGAGAGAGTCCCTTCTTTGTAGAATTGTCGGAGGGTTAAAGTTCTTAGAATTTAGGTTGGTCATTATTAAAATACTGTTATTAGCTATTAAGACTTTAAGTAGTCAGTATTTTCAGCTCTTTAGCGTCCCTCAACTTTAGAAATAGTTCGAATACATTGGTTTATTTGGTTTTTAATAACCAGTGCTCCCGATATTCACGCAACAAATTGAAAACATCTAGAAGGTAATTGCTTGATAAATTCTAACCTCGCCATACGGTAGGTGAATCTTAACATGTCGGAGTCAGAGAGCTTTAATCTACATCTGATCTTCTAGTCTTAGATGCCCAAAGGTGGGGTGATGCCAGGACTTTGAGCTTCGAGATGGAAGAAAGCAGATGGATGCTGGCTTTGTCTAGGGTAGCCAATCGTGTGGGGTCCAGTCAGACCCCGGACGGCTCAGCCCAGCCAACCCTTGGTAGAGTTAGCAACGGAGGGGCGTGTATTTGCATGAAAAGAGAGGTTGTAGAGACTGTCAGTTCGTGTATTCCACCAAGTTCACGAACTCGGGGAGGGCGGGCCACTTCACATGAGAGGACACACCTGTCTGTCTCTGGGCTTTTATTGGCCGGCCCTTGATACAGCCTTCTAGGCATCAGCAGCAGGGGCGTGTCCCTGGTTGGGACAGCCAGCTCCAGGGTGGAATGATGTCATCGTAGGCGTGTCCCGAGAACCAAAGGAGCAGTGGGCGGGGCCTAAGGGAAGGTGTGCCGGGGGCTGGTTGGGGGCGCGGGCGGTGTGGCCGGGGCGGGGCCTAGGTGGCGGTGACGTCACGGGGCGGCGCGGTCCGGCTGGCGCCTATAGGTAAGCTCTGCGGCGGTCGGTGGCCCTCACTCGAGGCTGCCAGCAGCACCGACACACTTCTCTCTTGGCATCCCGGCGCTGCTGATCATGTCCTTGAGGGGCAGTTTCTCGCGTCTTCTTCGGATGCAAGTGCATTCTGTCCTGAAGAAGTCCGTCCACTCTGTGGCTGTGATAGGAGCCCCTTTCTCTCAGGGACAGGTGAGAGCTGGGAACCGACACTGTGGGCAGGATTTCCCGGCTCCCAGAACCTGGAGAAAGCGGCGGTGGGGTGCTGGGGGCCCGGAGGCGAGGCAAGGAGAGGTTGGGGCAACGGTGAGGGTGAGAGCTGGCGGTTTCCTGCGATTGGGCACCGGGAGAACACGTGGGATTTAGCCGGACCGAGATGAAGAGGGAGCGAAGGGGGGATGGATGGTGTCCCCAGAAAGAGCGAGAGAACGGTAGCCCCAGCCTGGGGTGATGGAACGGAGGAAAGGAGGAACAGGGTTCCTTGGAGGGGCCGAGGAAGGCGAAACCCGCCACAATGCCCAGTGGAAAATCGACGGAGAGAAGGTGCGAGGAGGATCCATTCTTCCAGAAAGCATTAACCGGGAAAGAAATTGGCACTGTTCTCTCCCGGGGTGGGAGGACCCGAGGGGCTGTTTTGTTTTCTCTTCAATGAAAGAAACCTACAGTCGTAGAGGGCTTGCTCACTAGTGGCCAGGTCCCTGGCCCCAGCTAGCCACAGCCACACACACCCAACCCCCAGATCCTGACCTGTCTCAGCCCCTCCCTTGTTTTGGACTTTGCTGACCCTTCTCGCAGGAGGAAGTTGATTTAATCCAAGGAATGGAGTTGTTTCCCAGTGTAAAGGTTAGATAAAATGACCAGACCTCATAGATGGAAGTAATAGATGGAAGGACAGATGCTGTGTCAGGTTTTCAGAGGAGTCTATTAGGAACCAAGTGTAGTATTGCAGATTTCTGTATTTTTTTGTGAACTAAATTATGTGTGTGTGTTTTGCCCCCATCTTTCCTTCCATCTAACTGTAATTTGTGTGATTTGCAGAAAAGAAAAGGAGTGGAATATGGTCCAGCTGCTGTTAGAGAAGCTGGCTTGCTGAAAAGACTCTCTGCTTTGGGTAAGTGGCTGGATTTTATGTCTGTACAGGACTGTTAATGGACCACTTTGGAGTCTTCTCTCTCATTTTTTTTTTTTTTTAATGGTACTGGGGATTTAACCCAGGGGTGCTCTACCACTGAGCTACATCCCAACCCTTTTTATTTTTTTGAGATAGGGCTTTTTTTTTTTGCTAAGTTGCTGAGGCTGGCCTGGAACTTGTGATCCTCCTGCCTCAGCCTCCCGAGTTGCTGGGATTTCAGATGTGTGCCACTGTGTTGGGCTTGGAGTCTTCTCTCTTATATCCACAGCCTACAGTGTCATCTATGTACTTGGGAACAATCTGCCACATTTATCTCCTGTTCTTTGGATTACATCTGCAGTTTAAGATCTATCAGGGAGTCTTTAGGGAAAGTTGCAATAAAGAGTTGATGTGGAAGTCCAGGGGTGAAATGAGGCTGGGCCTGGGACAAGCTGCTAATGGCATGCATCAGGTGCTGAGAACACTTTCACCAGCTTTTTTTTTGTTGTTTTTTTTTTTTGACCTGGGGATTTAACTCAAGGGAGCTTTACCTGAGCTACATCCCATTCCTTTTTATTTTTTATTTTGCAACAGGGTCTCATTAAGTTGCTTAGGGCCTTGCTAAGTTTCAGAGGCTGGCTTTGAACTTGCAATCCTCCTGCCTCAAGTCCTGAGCCGCTGGGATTACAGGCATGCACCACCATGCCCAGCCTTGCTTCAGCTTTAACTGCACTCAACATTTTCCCCTACAATTATAGCTTTCAAAACTCAGTCTTGAGATGCTTATGAGTCATCAGTCTCAACAGTTTCCTCTCTTCAAATTCATTTCCTCTCTAGGGTTCATGGCTTTGCATTACTGTAAGCAGGGTGTAGAGCTGTGTTTTTCAAACCTACCTGATTAGAAGATCACCTGGGTTACTCATTAAAAATATAGGTTCCTAGACTCCTCCATGGAAGAGTCTGGTTCATTGGGTCTGAGGTGGGACCCAGATATGTGCATTTTTCTTTTTGCTTTCATCTTTTTTTCCCCTGTGATACTGGGGATTGAACCTAGGGGGTGCTCTACCACTGAGTTACATCCCTAGTCCTTTTTTCATTTTTTATTTTGAGACAGTGTCTTGCTAAATTTCCCAGGCTGGCCTTAAACTTGCAATCCTCCTGCTTCAGCCTCCTGAGTAGGTGGGATGACAGGTGTGTGCCACCGTGCCTGACAGATATAAGCATTTTTACAAGCCCCTCAGATAACCAGTCTTAAAAGTTGCAGTCTTGTAATTAGGATAGTACTTCAAGTTTTTAGAAACAAAAGTAAATCTGATCCAAAGATAAATGCAATTTGTATAGTAATGACATCTTTTAGTAACAGGGTACCAAATTTCATAACTTTATAGATAGGAAGGTTCTCCTTATGTCTAACCCAAATATTTCTGGCTGATACTCAAGGTCATTTCCTCCATTACATATTTTTTTCTAGTACTGCAAATTCCAAATATGTGGCAGCAGGGTGATCTGGAGATAGGATCACAGAATTCCTCTAAAATCTCTGCTGATGAGTCCATTACATGGATCAGTCATCTCCTTCCAAAACCTGCAGGAATAATGAAGTTACTGAAATCATCTAAAGTTGAGGTGTATGCCTCCACCTTTATAAGGATATGACGACTCAGATTGAATATTCAAAATTCTTCTCTGTTCAATAATTGCAGTTTCTTCTTCAGTAGTATCTCCTTCTTAGTCATTTTAATAACTCACCAAGTTCACTACCAAAGTGAAAGATAAACTGCTAAGATTTGGTCTTTTTATTTTTTACAGTGCTAGGGATCCAACCCAGGGACTCAAGACCCTAGGCAAGTGCTCTTCCACTGAGCTACACCCCAGTTCTGGTCTTCTTTTATGTGTCAAGGTAGCTACTAGGAGGAGGTTTTTTTGTTTGTTTGGTTTTGGTGTTGGGGATTGAGTCCAGTGTGTTTTACCACTGAGTTACATCCCTAGCCCCTTTTTGTTTTTTATTTTGAGATAGTCTCACTGAGTTGCTGAGGCTGGCTCCGAACTTGCAGTCCTCCTGCCTCAGCCTACCGAGTCATTGGGATACAGGCATATGCCACTGTGCCTGGCTTGGGAGGAGGTTTTTATTCCTGCTTATTAATGAAGATACTGTCTCTTAAAATAGCTTGTATATACTCTGCCTTTTCAAAAGAATCATTTTACACTGAAGACAACAATCTCTGGTGATCACTGTTTTTATATACCAGATAAATGTCTGCAGCCCGTCTAACAAACTGGGCCAGGCATTGCTCAAGTTGCTGTTATCTCTAGGTTCTGTCTTCAAGAGACTCTTACCAGAAACAGGTTAGGCCTCTTTAGAGAGAAGCGGCACACTGATAACGGCTTCCTTCATTTATAGACCTCTTTTCTGTCCATCTCTTAGTAATTTTCCACTCCAACCTGGGGGAGGCCCTTTTCCTTTAAATACTATTCCCTCTACTTTTTCTTTTCCCTTTAAACTCCCAATCTAAAGTAATAGTAAAGCTTCAGTTTATTTTGCCTTCCTTTTCATATTTTTTTTTTCAAATTTTGTAGTTGTATTTGTAGCTAGCTGCTGATTGGTAGGCCAGTATCACCAGCTGTCCAAAATAGAATCTCATTGCATATTAATAAGATTGTGGCACTCAGCAGATTTCCAGCACATGGTTTTGGCTAATCTCCTGGAATATGTTGGAGAAAAGTACCATGAGTAGTTTCATTGCTCTGCTCCTTAACAGTACCAAAATAACTTACCATCCTTCTAGTACTTTCAAATTAGCATGGGTCAAATTTCAAAGCATGAGTAGCAGGCTGGGGAAACCCAAAAAAAAGGAGAGAGAGAAGGTAAATTTCCTTAATTCCTTTGTTCTTGCCTTTTGCTCTGATGTCACTAGCTGCTCTTCTGTGTTGCTATGGTGTCACATAAACTTCCTGTTTTCTTGGGTGAATGTATTTATTTGACTTAGTGTCTGGACTTGTTTTTCCATTTCCCTGGACTCAATAGGGCATGGTGTTTCTCACAGGTAACCATTTATTTTAGTACATTAAGAGGGCTGGACAGAAATGAAGAGAGATGGCTCTGGCAAAGCTCAGAGGTAGGGCTGGGGTTGTAGCTCAGTGGTAGAGCGCTTGCCTGGCACGTATGAGGCATTGGGTTCAATCCTCAGCACCATATAAAAATAAATAAATAAGATAAAGGTATTGTGTCCATCTACAACTAAAAAAAAATGTGTTAAATAAAAAAATCTCAGAGGCAGTCTATCTGCTCCTGATTCTAGTTAGTTCTGATGTCCACAGCAGTTTGTCTTTTTCTCATTAGAAGTAGAATGAATGTCTGTGGGTAAAGATAGCTGTAAGTCAAGATTAAGGCTGTAAGTCTCTATCTTTTTAATTCTGGTAATTTGATTCAGCTGTGCTACTGAAGAAGCCACAGTCACTGAGAAATCTGTTCAAATGAGCTTGCTTCTGACCAGGCTACAAGTCCTGGTGTCCAGAAAGTCATTTGTGGGTTATTCTGGTTCCTCTCAATTAGACTAATGACACTTATTCTTCCTAATCTACTTGGCACTCTAACAGATAGAACAAGAATCTCTTTGGTTGAGACAAGTTGAGAACCAAGAAACTAGTTTGCTTCCACAAGAACTGCTGATAAGAGGACCTGAGATAGTTGTTTAAATATAAAAATCTTAAGTAAGAGAGCTGTTCATTTGGGACAGATCAATATGTGAGTTCAGGCATCTGTATTTGCTTCCAACAGTTGGTAGAGGACTTTAGGAGTCACGGGTTTAGTTGCATGATAGTGATGCGTTAGCCTGGCTTCCTTCCTGCCATTCCTCTGAAGTTAGCATGGAGGGAATTTGTCTCATGACTTTGAAGAATGAAATCAATGGACACAGGGTGAGAGCAAAGTAACAGAATTTATTAGAGTAATAGAAAGAAAGCAGACTCCCAAAGGGTAGAGGACTCAAGAAAGGGATACTGAAGAGTAGCTATTATATAAGTGTTTATATGAATCTAAGGGTTAAGGAAACTAGCCTCCTACCCAACCCTGGGAAAGGCTCTCAGAGTCCACAAGCTCTTCATGTGCTCTTTGGTCTGATCATGTTTCCCTGCTCCCTTGTTTTGATGAGGGTCCACTATAAGTTTTTTCTGTTTCTATAGGAATCAGCCTGACCTGGATGAGACCTGGTGTGTGTTCTCAGCCTGGCTGAATAGAAACCTGACCTTGAAGGAACCCAAGTTTTCTGCCTGTCCATTTTAACCCTTTCTCCTGCCTCAAAACTACCTAGAGAAAGCTCAGATTTGTCAGCCTTTATTTTATTGGATTTTTTATCACCTAGATGACTGCTTTGTTCCTAAATAGTCTCCTCTGATAGCCAATACTACTCTCTCTTGGCCTCCTTTCTTCATTGAATTGTGGGGGGTTCTTCTTCCTAACCCTCATGTTGAGGTCCCCAGTGTTATTCCTGCCATTTTCTGATGAATGTGACCAATCTCATCCACTCCCCAATTACTCTCAACAACTTTGACCTTCCTCTAGAAAGCCAAGTTTACTCCTCTACCTTTGTTTTAAGTAGCCTCACTTCAATTTTACAGATATGTTAAACCCATCATGTTTAAAAAAATGTTCATTTTATCTTCTCTCTCAAATCTACTTTTTCTGCCGTCTTGTCATTATTTCACACTGTCACCCATTATCTAGTTACTCAAGTCAATTCAAAGAACATCACAATTATTTTCTTTCCCTTTTGCTTCTTAAATCAGTTGATCACCTCATCTTATCTCCTAAATGATTAGATTCCTTCTCCACAATACTGCTCAAGTTTTGTTCCTCTTTTCACACCTGACTATAACTTTCAAATGGTATCTCGTGTCCTCTTTTTTCATTCCTCACTTTAACCTTCTTCAGTGCTACCATAATGGTATTTCTCCCCCCCAATTAATGCTAAATACCTTTTATTTGAAATTTACAAGCCACA